TCACAGTCAGTGAATTTTCCTCTTCATGCTTGGCAAGGATTCAGATGGCTTTTAAGTCACTTGTTCAAGCAAAAAAAAAAATGGTACATTTGGGATGAAATTATCCTGGAGGGCATTGTTGCAATTAGAGAGATGAATGACCACAGGCTTTAATTAGAACACCAGGTACACATTTCATATCATTATTCGGAGGAATCTGGCTCACTCAGGTAAAATAATGTTCCCGAGTCAATATCTATAGAACTGCAGACACCAGTTCTAAATGAAGGGCTGTTTCCTCTCCGTGTTTGCTTATAAACAAAACACAAAAGAAAATAGGAAAAAAATCCAGCCTGATTATCACGAATTCTCACCTCATTTTTCCTAGCCTATTAGAGGTACACCTAAGTTCACAATGGAGTCGTGTGCAAGAGAAGGTTGGGCAGGAATGAAGAATGAAATTAGGATATTTATTTTAGAATTGAAGGAACAGCTGTGATTGATAATAAGCAACTACATATTTCAAATCTCATTTTAATAGCAGCCATCATTTGGTTTTCTCATATTTAAACAAGATACTTGTTCTTTAAAATGTATTACTTTCTTAAGCTTCTCAACCTTCATGAAATAAAATTACGTTACATATCTACATACCATTACAAACACAAAAGTAGTAAGAGGACATTACTAAGGTCATAAAGACAAATTCTCAAGAATCAGGAAATGAAAGATTTAAGCTTAAGACTAAGAATTAATATTACTGAGTGCTGCCTCAGTGAAGATTCCCTTTTGTATGTGAATCATCTGAGGCTATAATCATACTTTTTCACAGCATTTTTTTTTCCTGTCACCTTTTGTGTCAAGAATGGACTGTGCTCCTTTAATGAGCAGCGATTCAATATTTTGTTTTCTTCTTGTTGTTCAATGTATTGCCTCAGGCCTTATTTACAGCAAATTTACAAATGCAGTTCTGAAGACAGAATTATTAATTTCCTCCTGGGGGTTTCATTAGTGTACATGAGCACTTCACAACCATTATTTGATTTATCTTCCCGACACTTTTGTGAGGCCAGGGGAYAGAACTATCCCCAGTTTACAAAAGKGAAACCAACACAAATTAGAATAAGGGRAAAAAAAAAAAAAKCACCAATTCYGGATATCTTACTTGTGACAAACAAAATTAGTTAAGTGATTGACTAATGATAGGGCTTTAAATTAGAGTTCCAATTGCTTTTCCCATTGATCATATGTGTCTTGCCTCAAATTGCTCTGGTTTTTACTCTGGCAGCTCTTGGTTTCTTGTCTCCCTTGCCCCAGCTTCATCTGCTGCTGCTGCTGCAACAGTTCTCAGTCTCTAACTTCTTACCAGTTCCAGCTCAGACTGTCTCAATGCCACCACAGTCCTCCATTTTAGGATATTTTCAYTCACCCATACTTCTTATTTTAATGAGTTTCCATTTTTTCCCCCTATCCATTGCTCCATTACTTTATTTTCCAGTTATCTACTCCAACCATCCTTGTTCTCTCTTCCATTTTCTTCCCCACTCCGAACTCTATCCCTCATCTCTTTTCTTCTTCCCTGTCTTGCCCAGCAGTCATCACCTCCTTTTGTCATGGCTTTCAGGATCTTTTTTCATTCCAAAACCTGTAAACTTCTAGTTTTTGCTCTTTTGCCTGCAGTTAAGCTGGCACCAGTTAATCCCCTCAGTGAAATCCAGCTCCTAGTTTTACAGAGGTAATTTCCCTGGTTTTGGAGCCCAGCAGGGGCTTCTCTTTGAGAAGGGAAAGAAAATCCCTCTGTTTGTTGGCAGGCACATGTAGCAATGCCACACCATTGGTTTAGCCTCATACTAGACAACGCCTCTGCACACAAAAATCTTTGTAGGATTTAGCTGTCATACTCAGGAATGTTGTTGAATTCAGGCAAATGATATTTTCAAAAGCTTGTAGTTTGACCAACAGCAGACTCGTTTTCATAGAGTTGATGACAAAAGCCTCCCTGACAGAAACTCCATAGTCCTTTCAGATCAAGTCCTTACTCTGAAAGTACCAACACTAGAATCTTCTGAAGAGTCTTCTTTTTTTTTTTTTTTAATAAGGAAATCTTGTTTTGTCACATTTCAGTTGTAAAACTGAATACTTTTGGCTGAAATTAAAAGCTAATTTGCTTGAACTTTGCATAGAAAAATCTTACCCCCTAAATTCTGATTTAGGAAAGTTTAAAACCCTATTTTCAATTGCTTAGAATCACAAGTATTTCTCACCTTTAATTACAGAAAATATCATCATCACTACCTATAAAACTTCAATGCACAAACACAAACATCTTGTTTGTGCATATGTTCATGTTTCCAAGTACATAAGAGAGAATCTAGCTATCTGGAAATGTCAACGCAGAGAAACACRAAGATATACAAATGTCTCTAAGTTTTCATTTGTTTAAATGAAAACACCCAAGGGAATTTTCAGGGAAAATATAAGGCAAGAAAAATTAATTTTCTAGGCAATTTATCATATCCCTTGTTAAACGTATATTCCAATCATACATTCCTCTCAGCTCCCACAGAAACAAACTAGCTTTTGGACAATATGCCAGCACAATAGCAGAGCTGAGTTTGAGTTTACGCATTACCAGAAGTGTTAGGTGTCAATATTCTCCTGATAGTCACAAAATGTGCCTTGAAACCTGTCAGCACCCCTCGTTGCCACTCTAAGCGCGCCCTGAATCCCTATCCCCATCTCTTTCCCTAGAGGAAGAATTTTGCTCTGAGGTGCCTCTGGGCTCCAGCGCTGGGGAAGGAACCCAAAACGGGTTATATTCCCCTTTCCCCTCAACCCAGGTTCTTGGGCTGGAAGAGCCTTTCTCTGCAGGAGTTGGGATAGGATGAGATATCTTGCTATGCTCAGATAAGGGGTCCCTCACTTGAACTGAGCTGAGGGAAAAACAGTATCACAACATATCACAACATATCAAAAACAGTATCACAACATATTCAAGAATATAGCAATATCTCCTGATGTCTTCTCATATTAAAACCTCCACTAGAGGTACCTCCTCCAGAGATAAAATCCTCCGGAAAAGGGTCTTAGTTTCTCAGTGAAATTAGATCARCTGGGGACAGAGAAGAGCAACAAAGACACCATCAGTCTTTATCWGCAGGCCTTTGAAACCCATTGACTCATTGCCCAAATGGTTTAATACTATTACAATATTTAGTAATACCATGACACTTTGTACTGGTGTCATGAAAGACTCAGATGGCAGTGATCATATAGCAAGTTGGAAGATACTGTCACTACATCTACAACAACACAGCACAGAGCCTGTAGCAAAGTTCTCTTTACAGACAAGATCAGAACCAATATTTATCAGTGTCAAATTGCTTCAAGACCCTCAGGCTTCTGGCACTTTCCCTACTATCTCACAATACACCCATATACTTACTTAGAAAACAGTGCTTACTGTAGAACGTTTCTTCTATCCACCTGCTGAAGGTCCTGAAGTCCGGAGCTGTTACGGCTTGGTCATCTCAAGGAAATTTACTAAGATAGTACAAGAGAAACAACAGCAGAAAACAAATAAAAATGTATCCTGATGACTTACAAATGGGATACCTCGATGCTAGTAAGCTTGAAATATCTCATAACTCAAGCCCGGTTAAAAAAATCTCAGATACAAGTAGTAACTTACAAAAGTCTAAAACATAGCATATGTCTATCTTATCTGAACAAATTCTTATCTCATCTGTGCTTCCCGCTTTCTCCTTCTGCTTCAGCTAAGATCTTATTAGACATTCTGAGATGCCTGGCAGAGGCTCCAGTTCTTCAATGACCTTCTACCTCTAAGTTGCATTCATGGAAGAGGCGCTTGGCCTGGGGAAAATTGCTAGTTTTTGCATCTCCAGGGAGTTTGCTTGGGGATGTACTCGCTTTCTGAGTTTCCTTCTCTTTCCACTATCCTTCTTTATAGAATTATTTGACATTTCCTATCAGACTAATAATTGTTCTCACTTCTTAGAAAATATCTGTATGTCTGACAGGTCAGGTTCAGCCCTCACTTGTGCTTGACTAAAGCAGCAGGAAATTGTTAACTCCCTGAGAAGTAAAACATTCTTACTATCCAGGGAGGAAATATATCTCTCAGTGTGAAGTCCTTCCATGCATTAAAAATGCACAAAACATAACAACAGGTGATCATGCTTTATTAAAAAAAAAAGTATAAAATAAGGAAGACAAAGATATGCGTGGCACAATACTAGCCCTGGATTAAGATTAGATCACAGAGATGTTGACAAGATCTTAGCGAGTCTGGAGTCATGGTCCCCACAAGTATCTGACCCATGCAGAGTGTGAGGTAGAAGTRCCATGCATGGAGGCTGTGTCACAAGCCAGTACCTAGCCATATCAAACAGTTGGCGTGAGGCATGTCATCGAGCAACGTGATTACTTCTTGCATTCACCTTGTCCCAGATTCCCTCAGGACAATGGAGCCCAGACATGTAACTCATTTTCACCCCAAAAGAACATGACTCCCTATACCCTTTTCCAAGAAGCTGTTTTTCAAAGACCAAGGATATAGTGCATGGATTTAYATATATTCAGGTTAACCTCCTCTCCTGCAGCCTCAGACTGGTACACCAGAGTACATCAGCAAGGTACACCAGAGTGCTACTGGGAGACTTCTAAACACCCTTTTCCAAAGGCTGGAAATTAGAGGGTATAGCAATGTGCTCGGTTTGCAAAGCACAGCTACAGGCATTAGATGCCAAGGATTTATTGCCTTTGATTGTGATCATACAGATAAACAAGGGGATACACACTCCCAGAATGGTTGTACAAAAGTAGAACCTAGTGCAAGCACATCTGGAGGAAGGTACCAAAATGCACCTGCAACGACACATCAGCTGTACTCCACTCCATACCTTTGGCTTTTCCCATGGAGAAAGGRTAAACCACAGGGATTTCTCCAAAGAAATAGATATTGGAAATTGATCTTATTCTTCTCTGTATGGAAGGGAAGCTTGAAGTTTTTTCTTCATCAGAATTGTAGTCGACAGATGACAAAAAGGTATCATCCTTATCTCACATCTAATTCATCCACCTGTTGGGAAGAGAGAATTTCACTAACGTGCCTTATTTTGTATCAGTAGGCATCAGGTCCTTCATCCCACCTTCAAAGGCAACACAGTACACTTGTTGCTGTGGTCAGGAGCTGGCCAGAAGCAAGTAATACAAAATAAATTAAAAAAAAAATCTGCATACTTGCTCAATACAAGCAGCTCACTAGTATTTTATTGATTGTGCTCGTGGTTTCTATGGAGACAGATGTGGAGGAGTTAATTAAGAACAAGGGTTAGAGCTGATAAAAATTGGAATTTTCAGTGCAGTTCATCTATCATGCACATTCAAATTAGCTTCTCAAACAAAATATCTATGGGAGAGAAATGGTGATGGCTAAATCATTTTAACAGAAGTAAATTAAACTTGTTAAGAAGAGTTTAAAGCTGATACATTTGTTTTCTGTTTGTCCTGCTGAAAATGTTTTCACTTTGGTAAATAAAAACAATTTAAAAACTGCAGATTTTGGACTTTATCATAGAGATATCTTTGTGATCCAGAGCAATTCTTATTCCAATCTGCTTGCCTATGTTCACATCTACCAATTTATTTATCCAAGGACCTGAAACATTTTGTACAGGTGCCAAAACATTTGTCTAGGTGAAAAGGAACCACTTTGCCTCAGACATTTTTATTCCTGTTACGATTCCTYGTTATGAATTTGGGCTACCACATGCAAGTGAGGTTTGGCTGCCCTCACTTGCCACTTGTTTGGTGCTGTACTTATTCCTCAGCCCTTAATAACCACAGCTCTTAGTGGAGGCTGAACATTTCATCTCTTTCTGCAAGCAGTACCAGGAAGGAGCATTTCTCAGGTTCAAGTTAGGATAATCAACCCTGTGGGTTTTGACAAGGCTGCCTTGAAACTACAGTTAAAAAAATGGGTGAGTCTGGATTTTCCTAGTGGCTCAGTATCCAAATACTGGTGTGACATTTTCCTGCCTATATCTTGTATGTGTTGGGAGTGATCTGAATGGATTCCTAGTGCCTCAACACTTGGAAAGATGAGTCCTCTCTCAGGCTTCATAAAAGAGAAGATGGAAGACTCCCTGCCCTGCTCCCTGTAGGCTAGCTACATCCTGATCATCCTGTCAGCTCATAGTGTGACATTTTCTGGAATGGCATAGGAGAAAGAAATACATATATATATATATACATATATATATATATATATTTTTGCAGGGATGATCTTTTCCAGATGAGCTGACAATAAAGTTAATTACTCTGATATGTCTACCCCTTCAAAATAGGATCCCAGCTACACTAGGGACTTAAAAGGTAAATTCAGCGTCTTACCACCTTTCCCCAGGAAGACTTCAACAAGGCCTCAGCATAGGCTGACTCCTGCAGAGAACAGGCTTAGCAGGCACACCCCCAAAGGGGAAGGTTCATCTCACCTTTACACTGAGACTCAGCCTTCAAAACTCTCCTAATTTTCTACCATGCCTAGGTGGATGAATCAAGGTGATTGAAAATATAGGAAGGCACCTGAGCTGACTTTGACACAAAGAAAAAGGTTCAGCTTCAGAAGGAGGCACAGGAAATTTTGACATTGGAAACTCAGGGGGAAAAATGCGCTAAACCAGCTTCTCCGTCTGGCTCTCTGAGCATTCCTAATCACTGCCTAGCTGTTTATGTTGTGCTCATCACTGTTTTATGCCAAACTTGGCATTTGCTGTGTCTGCAAATCCTACACACAGGTTAGATATTTCTGAGCATTCATGCCTTGCTTTCAATGAAATGCAGTCCTCTCTATTTTTTTTCCAGACAGGATTTATCAGATGCTGACATGGTACATAACTGTTCGTAAAAAGCCCAAYACACACCATGCACACACACAGTGTAAACTGCAACTTACCCAGCAGAAACTCCAGAGGGCATGTTGGTAGCCAGAATGAAACCACCTAAGTTGGAAGCCAGCCAGGACGATGGGGTTTAAATTCCTATTTGTTTGGATTAATCTAATTGCTAAATATATTGTTCCACTGGTTGCTGCAGAAATAACCTTTTCGTATTAGCCAGCAGGTTAAATAGTACCTTTATTGTGGTACTTACCAGCTTCTTTTCCTGTCAGTCACTTCTGCTGTTGATTTGACTACCAGGCCCTTTGTATTATTCTTGTCAGCCTTAGAGCCACATGTCCTAAGGAAAGGTACAAAAAGCCACAATATTAGGGGAARAAAAAAGAAGCAAGACAACTAGTGAAAATTCATCTGTCATGTACTGCTTCCATCAAAGGAACCAGATAATAAAATTTGAAAATATTTTTGCAGTAGCTGTATCCTTTTCTTTAAAAACCACATGGAGAAAAATGGTCACAGATCCTTTCAGTTCCTGAAACAAAATTAGATTTTATTACGGTCTAAAAAAGTAAATATCATGGAGTGCAAACACCATTTTGCTACAGTATACCCAGAGGCATATACTGGCCATCCTCTATATTGACATTCGACACTGATACTATTCATCACAGAATTAATCTTGCTAAACTTCACGTATTAAGGGATTCCCTCTGGCCCCCCTACCCCTAAGTACCTGTACTGGAGCCACAGTGCAGGATATCAGCTCTGCTCAGAGCAGCCTCAAGTGTTTGCGCCAGCCTTTCCACTCGTGCATGTTAAATTCTTCCCACAGTGCCTTTGGAAACTAGATCAGAAGGGATGGAATGGTCTAAGGATTAGAAAAAATATCTTGAAAGCTCTGTATCACATTTGCAGGAAGATCCAGGTGGCTAAGAATGGGCTGCACAGACACCACAGGAGCACACTTTAAGCAGAAAAAAAAAAGAAACACCATTTGCAGGTTTTTGCAGTATTACTGCAGGATGGAGAGGGCACATTCAGAAAAGGCTCTTCATGCTCTAACATAAGCATACCCTGAGCTGTGTTATTTCACTAAATTTTTTATTTCTCTTTAAATTACAAACTACCAATATCTATCTAAACTTACCTGTAACATTCAGATGTTTCTTCATGTCACACGTGCAAAAGAAGGAAAAGCAGAGCACGACATATTTTGATGGCTTTCAACCTGCTGATGGCTCTTGTGAAGAGGAGATCGAGGGCACCCACTCATTAACTCGGGATAGAAAGGCAGCTTTACAACCCAGCATGAAGACAGAGAGCCAGGGAACAGAAGAGGGCACAAGTGAAGAGCCAAAGCCACCACCCTGCAGCACCTGCACATGCAGCAAGACACATGCAGATGGGTGAAGCTACCATCAGAGCTGGGCTCACATAGGACTCCTGGTCTATAGGCAGAATAAGACACATAATGATCCCAGGTGAGGCTGGAGAGGCTGATTACAGGGCATCCAGCACCTGAGTGCAGGTTCACTTGGCCCTCTCCTCATCTCTGACAGGAACGAGCACCACCTGAGATCCTTGCTAATAGACATRGTGCTTCTGGATGTAGTGCAGCAGATAAAGTGACTGCTATGGAAGTGCAGTATTGCGTGGAGATAGCACATACTTTCTGCAATTCAGGCCTCAAATTTTGTACTTGTGCCACTCAAACCAGGGGCTTTTGCACCAGGAAGTGTATTAATCAAAAAATATTTCAGCTTCATTCCTGTGCAACAATATACTCCTCTGCTTTGGGTAACTCTTCTCTGGTATTATGCATGATACTTCTATGAGCACAGCAGCTATCACATTGCCTATTATAAAAAAAAAAAGCAGAATTTCAATTGGTTTTCCTCAGCAATACTCACCTTGCTCTACTTCTCCCTCCATGATGCAGGTAAGTCTTGTTAAAATTAGATTAGGACATTCTCCTTCTCATGCCCTCAGCTCTGAACTTCAGGGGACTGCTTCTGTAGTAGCAGCAGCATAGAAAATATTTCTTTTTTGAATTTTCTTCTTCTTCTTCTTTAGATTGACCCAGCTACAATTGTAGTGTCAAGGGGCAGCTACTGTCCATACCAACCTGCTATGTGAGATGTTTCCTTTTTAGGATAATGCTAGAAGACGACACTGGCTTAGGCAACAACTGCCTATATTCTTTAGACCAGAAATTCCTTTGTTCCTTGTTCCTATTCTGTTCTTTTCATTCTTTTTCACTGACAGGTCTAAGGGCATTCCTTAAGCATCATTTTGATCCCAAACCATTTAACCAGTTTTTGCTAAACCTTTGAGTTATCAAAGTTGTATGTGGGGCATCATCATTTCAAACTTTAAAAATTTCTCTGCTACAGAATAGCTTAGTTTAACTATAAAATGATTATTTTATGACGGAACACTTGCCATAGACATTTTTTYGGCACTAAAGACTTCTTGTGACACATAGTGTAATTGAAATGTTTAATGAAATTAAGTTTCAGGTCAATAAAAATTAGAAAACCAAAGTACAATATAATATGAAAGAAATGCTTTCTGAGGGAGCCTTGGATAATATTTTAGAAAGCAGATCTTAAATTGAAAAATGAAAATCACTTATGCTTTATCCAATTTCAATAAAAAATAAGATGCAAGAATCTCATAATTTATGAGATAAAGCTTTCTTTCAACCAGCTCTGTGTAAGCTGAAGAAACATCATTGATCTCGCAGTATGGTTTGTGTCATAGTCTTTCTACACCAGCCAGGCAAAACTCCTCCTTCTGCAGCCCAGAAGACCATTTCCATAGAAGCCAGAGCTCTCATTTGGGGGAGTTTCATTGTGTTATGGTGTCTCAAAATTCTGCCTTTGACACAAATGAGTTTAGAATTATCCCATGTCTCTGCATCGCTTTCCTCTAAACACATCTGCCTTCTGGGAGAGTGCTTTTGTGGACTGACATTCATGGACTCACATAGAACTGCTCTAGGCTTTCAGTTTACAAATATTTGACATTTGAARGAGTACAAAATGTGGAGGTGAGATCTGGAGTAGCAGAACCACAAGCTGAGCTGTGGCTCTGGGATGAATTGCTCCCACCCAAGGAGGTCACTGTGGGCTCCCACACTTTCCTGGACCATAGGCAGGCTCTCTTGCCAGAGCAGCTCCAGCAGCCAGTGCGATTTTAATAACTTCATGGAATCACAAGTTAAGTGTGTGCCACTCACATGCATAACAGTGCTCCACAAACACATTCTCTTTGAGTCTCACAATTAAGAAATTCCCCAAGCCTGCTTGCTTCCTGAGCGTAGGTCTTCTAGAAGCAACCTGCCAAGAGGATGCAAGCATAAAAAAATCACAGTTTTATCTTGCCTGTCTCTGTATTTGTAGTCCAGCGCTGTAGCTAAACTGCACAGGGTTTGTGTTTAATTTCCTTGGGGATTCAAGCAGTAATTAAAATAAATTATAATTAATGACTGACCCAGCCCAGAACTCTCCATGCACTTTAGCAAAAACAGCAAACAGCTGATAATGTTATAGCAAACAAAACAATACGCTTATTCATCAAACCCAGTAGCCAGCAATAAAAAAAAAAGAAAAAAAGTAAAATAAAGAAGTAACTTTTCAGAAACACAAATAGGAGCTGTTTTGAATTCTGCGAGGAAAAATAAAATCATGCAAGGACTTCAGTAACCTCGTGTCTCCATCATTGTCCTCCTCAAATACTGCCCATTTCATGAAATCAGAGCTGTAAATCCTTCATATTCATACAAAGGCCTTTATAGTAATAAGTACATATAGGCACTTACGCCTATAATGGAAGAGGCACAAAGAAAATAGTAAACTGTTASTTTACTTAATGAAGAAAAGAAAAATCCATGGATTTCATGTAATTTTAATTCCTCTCCCTCACGTCCWAAGCTAGTTTTCCATAGGCTTCTACATTCAAGATGTCCTAAATGCAAACTCTACCTAACACAGACTTATAGCTTAGTAATTCTGGAATAAGAATGGAAATTGAAGTTGAGGGCAGGCAGTGGTATTTTGGTGTTTTTGTACAGAGCAAGTACAAAGCTGACAGGACAGATTAGCCCAAAACTATCCAAATGGACCATTTTTTCACAGTATAACTATAGACCACTTTGCAGCAGCATAAAACACAAGAGGACAAGATCATGCTCATGGCAAGCCCACTGCCACCCAGGCTCCACAGAGAGGTTCAGCTTGCCCATCTAGAGTGGAGAAGGCACCTGGATACCCTCAGTAATTCCAGGATAGAAGGATTTTCAGCAACAGGAAGGTGGCTCRTGAGAGGGGACCTGGAGCTTGCTTCTTCCCTGATAAAGACATGTATCAAAAGTAATTCCACTGCAACCCAAATTAGTGATCAATACGGGCCTGCACCATAGCGGAAGCTTAGACCCTCATTAGTGGTTTCTTTATATGCAATTCTAGCACAGCCTGAAGAATTATCAGAGCACCGTATCCATCGTGACACTGATGGCTGCTGAAGGTCATGTACTGAGGAAACAGCTGCTCACCAGTGCTTCAGAACAGCTCAAGAGCTGAGATCACCTCATTTGATACCAGAGGAGTTTTTCTTTCAACATTGCTATTAGCGATGGGATGACTCTTGACACTTGAGCRTTTGTGCCACTTCCCAACAGCTTTCTTACGTTTAACATAACCTAGGTAAAACTCAGCAACTGTAGGGAGTTTTCCTAAGAGTGTGATTCCCTGCCAAGAGTCCCCAAGCAGCCGGCAACATCAGCCCATAAGGATTCGGCCCGCAGGGTGGTGTAAAACAGGCTGGGCTGGTCAGAGTCACTGCTTCAAGTGCTTCCAGAGCCTCATCCTTCGGGAAGGCACTGCCTTGCAATTTTACACATGCTACACTATAATTTGACAGTTACATTAAACCCGGGTGCTCCTATTTTGAAAGAAGCAAAATGCAGACAATTTGCCTTCTCCGTAGCACTGATTATTTAACGTAGCTACAGCCCGCGCTCGCGTCTCCGCGTTAAGCGGTATTAATCTCTTCCGTCTGTCTTCTTCTGGAAGTCCTTTCCATGCCTCTAATCGTTTTTAGCTCTCCAGACACCTCTGTTTCTGCTGTACACTTCAGATAAGGAAAAAAAACCATGATAATCTGTATTTATATACTATACAGAGAGGCTACATGCAGCAGAGGAAAAAAGCTGATAGGGAAGGACTACTGAAAGACCAGCTACTAAAGGCAGTGCTGTACATAGCTAGTGAAGGCTTAAAAAATAATGAGATTGTAGCAACGACTCGAAGTGGGTATTATGCACTAAACA